CATGTGTCTTTTTTAATTAGTCTTTTCATTTTTTTTCTGGATATATACCCTGGAGTGGAATTGTTGGATCATTGGGCAGTTCTGTTTTTAGCTTTTTGAGGAACCTCTCTATTGTTTTCTGCAGTGGCCACACTAATTTACATTCCTACCACAATATGTTCTTGCCATGTGTTTTGGTACATGGTAAAGTAACATCTTTAGACCTGCTGCAGAGCCCACTTAGATCATTATGTATTCTAAACAGATAAGCCACCTTACTTTTAATCACCTTTTTGAGGTAAACTTGACAGCAATAACATGCATGCATTTTAAGATCCTGTTGGACGGATTTTGGTTGATGCAGTCACCTGTGTATGCACTACCGCAGTTAAGATACAGACATTTTCATCACCTACAAGTTCCTTCCTGCCCCTCTCCAGTTAGTCTTCTCCACCCTGGGCCCTGGGAAGCCACTGGTGTGCTTTCTCTCATGATAGGTTAGATTTGCCTTTTCTAGAATTTTCATATGATCTCACATAGTGTGTCCTCCTCTATGCCTGGCTTCTTTTACTCAGCAAAACATATTTAAGATTATCCATATTGGTGTCCGTATCAGTAGTTCATTCCTACTATTGTTGAGTCATATTCCACCATAGGCTATCTCACAATTTTGTTTATCTACACAACTAAACCATTGAATACCTTAACCAGTATTTACTACACTTCACTTGGGAGTTGAAGATTAGACACTCTCTTTACACAAACTTGAGATGCCTCCCTTCCCTGACCTCCAAATGGGGATTTGGGTAGGTGGTAGACATACAAGTCCAAACATTAAGGTGCGGTTGGGGCTGAAGCTACAGTGTCGTGAGTTACAAATGTAAAGGTGGCTTTTAGAACACAGTTACGAAAGATACAGAGGTGAGTGTAGGTGAGCAGCCCAGGGCCCTCCAGTATCACAGATCATGGAGAGAGGAAGAACAGGCAGAGGAGAGCAAGGAGGGAAACCAGAAGACAGTGCCATCCTGGCAGCAATTCTGCAAAGGCCCCCCCAGGAGGACGGAGTGATCACCTGGGTCAGACTCCGCTGGGTGGTCAAGGGAGGGAGGCCTGAGAACTGGCCGCTCAAGTCAGCCACGTGGGGGTCATCAGTGGCCTGGACAGTTTTAGTTAGACTGGCGGTAGCTGGCCTGGAGCAGGAGATTGTTAGAACCAATGGGAGGAGAGAGTCTGGAGACAGAGTGGATATAGACGTCTCTTGGTGAGTTTTCGTAGAAAATAAAGTAGAAACAGGGCAGAGGCCAGAAGGAAAAGTGGGATCAAGCAAAGGGATTGTTTTTCTTGAGATGGAGAAGCCGCAGCCTGTATTCTTATCAGAATCCCTGCCCTACAGCGCTGGGGTCTGGGTTGTCCTGTTAACTCTTGCCTTGCCCAGTACCTGGAGCAGGGCCCACCCAGCACAGGGGGACAATCAGTAGTTACCTCTAAGTAAACTGACGAATCAGACTTGATAAACCAGAAACTCACATTATATGCTAAATGGTGATAAGGCCAAGGAGATAGAATGAAGCAGGCAAGAAGGGTATAAAACGCGGAGGTGGTGGTTGACCTGTTAGCTAAGCTTATCTCTGAGGCCTCAGGAAAAGGTGACTTTTGAGCAAAACTTTGAGGAAGTACAAACAGCTGTAAAAAGAAAAGAAGCAAAACTCAAAGGAGAAAAGGAAAGATATACTCATTTGAATGCAGAGTTCTAGAGAATAGCAAGGAGAGACAAGAAAGCCTTCCTCAGTGCTCAGTGCAAAGAAAAGAGGAAAACAACAGAATGGGAAAACTTAGAGAGCTCTTCAAGAAAAGTAGAGATACCAAAGGAGCACTTCACGCAAAGAGGGGCTCAATAAAGAACAGAAATGGTAGGGACCTCACAGAAACAAAAGATATTAAGAAGAGGTGGCAAGAATACATAGAAGAACTATAAAAAAAGGTCTTCATGACCCAGATAATCACGATGGTGTGATCACTCACCTCGAGCCAGACGTCCTGGAATGTGAAGTCACGTGGGCCTTCGGAAGCATCTCTACAAACAGAGCTAGTGGAGGTGATGGAATTCCAGTTGAGCTATTTCAAATCCTAAAAGATGACGCTGTCGAAGTGCTGCCCAAAATATGCCAGCAAACTTGGAAGACTCAGCAGTGGCCACAGGACTGGAAAAGGTCAGTTTTCATTCCAATCCCAAAGAAAGGCAATGCCAAAGAATGCTCAAACTACCACACAATTGCACTCATCTCACACGCTAGTAAAGTAATGCTTAAAATTCTCCAAGCCAGGCTTCAGCAATATGTGAACCGTGAACTTCCAGAGGCTCAAGCTGGTTTTAGAAAAGGCAGAGGAACCAGAGATCAAAGTGGGGTCACAAAGAGTCAGACATGACTGTGTGACTGAACTGAACTGAACTGAACTGAACTGAGGAAGTAAGAGAGCCTGGCTCTCTCCAGGCAGCATAGCACCTTGGTTAAGTAAGCAGGGAAAATATTTTGAGCTCCTCAGGTTCAGGAGGAGACATTTTTGTTACATATACAAAAAAATTGTCTTGCAGATCTTTTTTTGTTGACTCAAGTGTACTTTAGAGAAGAAATTGAAAAGGTGGGAAAAAGCAGTTAGAAGGGGACCATTTATAAGGGACCCTGGGAACATGGGAAGTGGACAGTGGAGTGGAATTTTGAGGGGAGGAGATTTGCAGCCATGAATAAAATGAGTGTGGAATGGTGGTGGTCAGGCTCCTTCTGGAAAAGGTAGCCGGAGCCAGCTCCCATGTGACTTCTAAAGGGAACATTCACTGGGATCCTGCATCTGTGCCTTAAAGCTGCGTAGAGGATCCTGCCATGAAACCATGTTGTAGAGCCCAGCAGTGCTCCTGAAACCTTGACATCCCTACAGAGCCCCTGGGGGTCTTGCTGAAAGGCAGGTTGTGACTCAGGCCTGGAGCAGGGCCTGGGAGTCTGCATTCCTCACAGGCTCCCTGGTGGTGCCCCTTCTGGGCCAGTGACCACATTTTGAATACGGACAGGCACGAGAAATCCAGTATAACTTGAAATGTTGAACTTGTGAAATGAAGCATGTGTGTTTTCTGGCAGAGTGAGATTCACAGGGCTTGTCCTGTTATGAAATGAGAGAACAGGCACAAAACAGCCCAGCAGGCCACAGTGAGACCCCTTAGGGGGTCACTGATTGAGCCTGTCGGCGTACTCTGACCCTGGAAAATGTTTTCACAGGGCTCTGTCTGTTTTTCTCCCCCAGATTATGCCTTCTAGTGGGTCCTGATTGCTTGTTCCTGGCAAAAAATATTTGAGGTGAAGAAATAAATTTAGCCAACACCAACACAAAGCACCAAAGGGTTCTTCGCGGCTCTCGGGCCGGTGTTTTCACAGCGCTTGGCTGGATCTTCCTAAGGCAGGTGATCAGCTGAGTGGTCGTGGGGGGGAACTGCGGTGTTTTCCAGATAAGCTTGTTTCTTCATCTGTTCCCTCTGACCTGAAAAAAACCTCTTTGTTCCGTCCAGGCCTTTCTAAACAATGCCCACTTGGTGCTCTTTATACACATGAGTTCCTTCAGACAGCAGAAGGATCAGTGTACAGAAAGCCTTTCAGGTTATTCAGTTGCAACAGTTGTCCTTTGGAAGTGAGCCTGACGAGCAAAGGACACAGCCTATTGCATGTGCTGTTTTCTTTAACCTTACTTTGAGCCTCACAAAGCCCTGAGTTTTGACCAGTAATTAATAGTCAAGTTGTTGTTCAGTTGCTCCATTTTGTCCGAGTCTGTGCCCCCCCATGGACTGCAGCACACCAGGCTTTCCTGTCCTTCACTGTCCCCTGGAACTTGCTCAGACTCAGGTGCATCGAGTTGGTGATGCCATCCAACCATCTCATCCTCTGTCATCCCCTTGCCCTCCTGCCTTCAGCCTTTCCCAGCATCAGAGTCTTTACTATTCAAAGAGTAAATTATACAAATTCAGACATTTATATTATGACTTCCCTATCATTTTAGATTAAGTCTTTGCATTCAAGCCTTAGACTTATCATTCTCTTTTATCTTAAACTGCCATCGAACTCATCTGTGTCCTGTTAGTTTTGTCCTATCTCACAGCAGAAACAGCACTAGAAATACAGCCACAGCCTGCAGCTCCCACCCCAGGCCCAGCTCTGTGCGGTCACTGGACTTCAGTTCTCGCCAGCCATTCTTCAACATCCTAGAGACTCTCTGCTTCACTGACATATGCCAGATAGTCTCAGTTTAGTGGAGAACTTCAGTTCAGTTCAGTTGCTCAGTCGTGTCCAACTCTTTGCGACTCCAGGGACTGCAGCACACCAGGTTTCTGACTCCATCGCCAACTCCTGGAGCTTACTCAAACTCATGTCCACTGAGTCAGTGATGCTGTCCAACTATCTCATCCTCTGTTGCCCGTTTCTCCTCCTGCCATCAATCTTTCCCAGCATCAGGGTTTTTTCCAGTGAGTCAGTTCTTCACATCAGGTGGAGATACATCACAAAGTATTGGAGGTTCAGCATCAGTCCTTCCAATGAATATTCAGGACTGATTTCCTTTAGGATTGACTGGTTGGATCTCCTTGAAGTCCAAGGGATTTTCAGGAGTCTTCTGTAACACTACAGTTCAAAAGCATCAATTCTTCAGTTCTCAGCTTTCTTTATAGTCCAACTCTCACATCCATTCCTAACTACTGGAAAAACCATAGCTTTGACTAGATGGACATTTGTCGGCAAAGTAATGTTTCTGCTTTATAATGTGCTGTCTAGGTTGGTAATAGCTTTTCTTCCAAGGAGCAAGTGTCTTTTAATTTCATGGCTGCAGTCACCGTCTACAGTGATTTTTGAAGCCCAGGACAATAAAGTCTGTCACTGCTGCCATTGTTTCCCCATTTATTTGCCATGAGGTGATGGGACCAGATGCCATAATCTTAGTTGCTTGAATGTTGAGGGTTTTTGTTGTTGTTGTTTTTAAAACAATTGTATTTTAATTATTTATCATGTAATTGTCAGTACCAGCTCTTACAGATACATATTTGCAAGCATATCTTTGAAGTTTCTTTCAGATTGTCAATTCAAAAGTCAATTTAAAAAGTCAAACTCTATTTGTAGAAAATCAATCGACACATTATTGCACGTCCACATAATATTATTGTTGGACCTCTGTTCACCAACAGTCCCAGGGTTTTCTTCATTTGTTGCAGAGTCCAGATGGTCCATCATCTGATAGCTGTTACCTTTCCAGAACTTCTTCATTTCCTTTCGTCTCCAGGCAACAAATGAGGCAGTAATAAGTGTGCAAGGTACTAAATATAGGAGAGCAGGTTTCCCCTTTTTCATCAGCACCAGAACAACAAATGTAAGAATCATGCCAATGGCATAGGCAATTGTGGAGGAAACATAGTATATTGAAGAACCAATGTCAACATCAAATCTTCTACAGTATGCAATCAACAGGCCTGGTACAATGATGTCTCCAAAACCCAGTATTGAAACTGGCATGAGACACACACTCATTACTGAGAAATAGGCCAGTTTTGGTACCCTGATGACTACTGGTAACTTTTCATTATTTCCAAAAGGTCCAGCTGCAAGTTCAACCATGATACTCTCACCATTCTTTGTGATGAATGGTGTTACGAAAACAAAAAATACATCATAGAGGAGAAGGCCCAGAAGTATCACACTTGACTTGAAGTTGGGTAACTTCAGTGTTTTAATTAAATTCAGACAGAAAACAATCCCCAAGATATCCTGTAAAATCCAAGCCCACCTATCTTCATTTCGAAATACAGCCCAAACAACAACTACTGCTATGCACAGTCCAGAGAGAAAATTCTCACTTCAAAGCTCTTGCACAACAGGTAATTGTGCATCGTCCCCATTGTATCTTACGAACTAGTGCAGCAAGACAGTTGTACAGACTCATCGCTGATGCTATGCAGAAAATTGCTGTCATAACATAAACCAACCATTTGTAGAAGAAATAAAGTAAGACCATCATAATACAGCAGATGACCACAAATATTATAACTGTTAGAGGACTAAAAGTAAAATATTCTTCCTTCGTTTTCCTCACTTCTCTATCCTCAGTGTTTGTCATTGCCTTCATGTTTTCCAATTCGATGAGCCCGCTCCAGTATTGTCCTAATCCCACGGTGAGCACAACAGTTACAGAAGTAACCACCATGGTATAGTCAGCGTTAGGCCGGATGGAGAACGCATGTTCACAACAGTGTTATCTCCCAGAGTCTGCTTCGTACCTTTAAAGTCCTTATGGTTTATAAATGCAGTCAATATTTTCACATCAGGATACTCAGATTTGTTCCCTGAGGGAGGAAATGGGACACTGTTGTTGGCAACCAACAAAGCTTCAGCACCTCCTGTTCGTGCAATTTTGGCTTTTTCCAGAAAACGGCAGGTTCCCCACTGTACCACAACTGCTTTGTTCTTTATTCCATCTGGAGGAATATCAGAAATGGTGCAGAGTGGTGTGGTAGTCAGATTCATCAAACTAGTGGAAGTTGCATTTTCTAGGGTACTTGGAAGAGATGTCCAGTGAGGGTTACATAGCATGCAGTAGTCCTTAGATAGTGAAGGCGTGCCATTTCCAGAGGCATGGAGGATTGCTTCATGAGCAGCTGTCAGAGGGAGCAGGAAGCCCCAGAACAGGGCGGCCGCGGCGGGGGGCAGCGGCGGCTGCCGACCCATCAAACTGACGGGTAGGCGCCGGGCGGCGGGTTCCGTTGCGGCGCTGCCTCGGTGGCCGGGCAGGACAGGGTCGGACCGCGGAGCTTGACGGGGGCCGCCGCAGCTGCTGGAGCCGCTGCTACGGCGCCCGAATGTTGAGTTTTAATCCAGCTTTTTTCACTCTCCTCTTTCATTTTCATCAAGAATCTCTTCAGTTCCTCTCCACATTCTGCCATAAGGGTGGTGTCATCTGCATATCTGAGGTTACTGATATTTCTCCCAGCAATCTTGATTCCAGTTGTGCTTCATCCAGCCCAGCATTTTGCATGATGTGCTCTGAATGTAAGTTAAATAAGCAGAGTGACGATAGGCAGCCTTGACGTACAGATTTCTCAGGAGGCAGGTAAGGTGGCCTGGTATTCCCATCTTTTGAAGAATTTTCCACAGTTTATTGTGATTCACATAGTCAAAGGCTTTGGCGTAGTCAGTAAAGGAGAAGTAGTTGTTTTTCTGGAATTCTCTTACTTTTTCTATGATCCAGTGGTTATTGGCAATTTGATCTCTGGTTCCTCTGCCTTTTCTAGATCCACCATGAATCAACATCTGGTACTGTCTCCCATTTTACAAATGTAAAATGTAAACGCAGGTTATACACTCATTTTTTTTCCAAAGTCTGTCAATAGCAAATATAATTAAATGCCTAAGTCTATTTACAGTGCTATAATATATATTATACATGCCATATAAAAACTAAATTAAACACATTCTCTGCAAGTTATAGGGAGAAAAAGGTGTTAAATAATCCCCAATTAAAGAGTCGGGCAAATCCTGAATGTAAAACATTCTGCAATTTAAACAGTCAGTTTTGTCTCTTCAGAAAGTCAATGTCATGAAATTTAAAAGTTGGGAAAACCGTCCTAAAATCAACTCTGTTCTTACCAACTGCATGCAATCTGTGACCCTAATTAGATCCTGGAGCACTGAAAATCATTTGGTACGATCTCCCTGCAGTGTTCACTTTGCATACCCTCACAGAGTCTAAAGTTACTCACTTCTGTAGAACATTTGAACTCTTGTGCTGAGCGATGCTCAGCCACGGAGTTGTGTCCGACTCTGCGACCCTGTGGGCTGTTCAGACCTAAGTTCTATTTTCTAGTTTTTAAAAATCCCCCAAATTGAACAGTTCTCTGCAGCAAGACCTTTGTCATGGATTAAGGGCTCACCATGATGTTCTGGAGCTTCATCATGAGCCATCCTGATACACATTTCATTCATTTTTTTTAATCCTAAATAAGATTGACTGGACTAAATGAATCCGTAGTGGAAAATGCTGAGCTCCTAGTACTTTTTTTAAGTATGGGTCTGTCTCAGTTTCTTTTCTCAATCTAGAATAAGCATACACTATTTTATTGCCCTGTGTATCTTATCTGGGTATCTTCTTCTCATGTATTTTTTACCTGTTTCTGATCAATCTTCCAGAAAATTTCTGACATATCTTTGAGTTCATCACATTTCTCTCCAGCTGTGTCTAATCCACTTTTAAACCCATTCACTCGGTTTCTGATTTCAGCTATTTTTCATTTCTAAAAGTTCCATTTGGTTCTTATTTTAATAATCTGTTGTCATTTTTCATTCCTTGTTCTTTACTTTTTATTTTCTGCTTTATCAGTAATGGAGAGAGGAGTATGGAAATCTCCATCATGATATGTCCACTTGTGCTTGTTGTTCAGTCACTCAGTCATGTCTGACTCTTTGTGACCCCATGGACTGCAGCACCAGGCTTCCCTGTCCTTCACTCTTTCCCGGAGTTTGCTCAAACTCATGTCCATTGAGTCAGTAATGACATCCAACCATCTCATTCTGTCGTCCCCTTCTCCTCCTGCCTTCAATCTTTCCCAGCATCAAGGTCTTTTCCAATGAGTCGACTCTTCTCATCATGTGACCACAGTAATGCAGCTTCAGCTTCAGCATCACTCCTTCCCATGAATATTCAGGGTTGATTTCCTTTGCTTCCCAGCTTTTGAAGCTATATCTTTCTGGTGATAGATGTTATTTCTATCATTAATAATACTCTTTAAAGTCTATTTTGTCTGATGTAATATAGCTCTCCTTAGGTTTCTTTTAGATAATGTTTCCCTGCTATTTTCTTTTTATTTTACTGTAAATCTGTGATCTTCTATTTGATTTTTCTCTTGTATGTGGCATGTAAATGTATGTGTGAAATTTTAAATTCTGGTCTTATAAGTCTCTGTCACCATACACATTACTGATAACATCAAAGACATGTCCCCACCAATTAATCCAACAAGCCTACAGTAACTGTAATACCAGATAGTAATTTAGTATTGAATATTTCCCAGATCTTGTGAATCTGAAATTCATTCTGATCCTTTTCCTTTGTATTTCCAGTTCATTCTGATCCGTTTCCTTTGAATTTCCAAGAATTTATGTAAGGACTGTTTTCGTTGCAGCATTCAGTTCAGTTCAGTCACTCAGTTGTGTCCAATTCGTTGCGACCTGATGAATCACAGCACACCAGGCCTCCCTGTCCATCACCAACTCCCGGAGTTCACCCAAACCTATGTCCATCGAGTCGGTGATACCATCCAACCATCTCATCCTCTGTCATCCTCTTCTCCTCCTGCCCTCAATCTTTCCCAACATCAGGGAAAGATTTTTCAAATCTTTTTCAAAGATTTTCAAATTTGAAAATTTTTTCGAATGAGTCAGCTATTCACATCAGGTGGCCAAAATATTTCAGTTTCAGCTTCAGCATCAGTCCTTCCAATGAACACCCAGGACTGATCTCCTTTAGGATGGACTGGTTGGATCTCCTTACAGTCCAAGGGACTCTCAAGAGTCTTCTCCAATACCACAGTTCAAAAGCATCAATCCTTCGGTGTTCAGGTTTCTTTATATTCCAACTCTCACATCCGTACGTGACCACTGGGAAAACCATAGCCTTGACTAGACAGACCTTTGCTGGCAAAGTAATGTCTCTGCTTTTTAATATGCTGTCTACGTTGGTCATAACTTTTCTTCCAAGGAGTAAGCGTCTTTTAATTTCATGNCTAGCGTGTGAGATGAGTGCAATTGTGTGGTAGTTTGAGCATTCTTTGGCATTGCCTCTCTTTGGGATTGGAATGAAAACTGACCTTTTCCAGTCCTGTGGCTACTGCTGAGTTTTCCAAATTTGCTGGCATATTTTGTGCAGCACTTTGACAGTGTCATCTTTTAGGATTTGAAATAGATCAACTGAAATTCCATCACCTCCACTAGCTCTGTTTGTAGAGATGCTTCCGAAGGCCCACGTGACTTCACATTCCAGGACGTCTGGCTCGAGGTGAGTGATCACACCATCGTGATTATCTGGGTCGTAAAGATCTTTTTTGTATAGTTTTTCTATGTATTCTTGCCACCTCTTCTTAATATCTTCTACTTCTGTTAGGTCCCTACCGTTTCTGTCCTTTATTGAGCCCATCTTTGCATGAATGAAATGTTCCTTTGTTATCTCTAATTTTCTTGAAGAGAGCTCTAGTCTTTCCCATTCTATTATTTTCCTCTATTTCTTTGCATTGGTCACTGAGGAAGGCTTTCTTATCTCTCCTGCTATTCTTTGGAACTCTGCATTCAGATGAGTATATCTTTCCTTTTCTCCTTTGCTTTTCACTTCCCTTCTTTTCACAGCTATTTGTAAGGCCTCCGCAGACAGTCATTATGCTTTTTTGCATTTCTTTTTTCTTGGGGATGGTCTTGATTCCTATCTCCTGTACAATATCATGAACCTCCATCCATAGTTCATCAGGCACTCTGTCTATCAGATCTAGTCCCTTAAATCTATTTCTCACTTCCACTGTATAGTCATCAGGGATTTGATTTAGGTCATACCTAAATGGTCTAGTGGCATGTGTACTCTTAATTGCAGCATGTAGAATTTCATTCTCTGACCGGGGATCGAACCCTGGATCCTCTGCTTTGGGAACCACAGAGTCTTAGCCTCTGGACCACGAGGGAAGTCCTTCTTGCTTGAATATAAAAGGACTTCCACCACCTCATTTTTTTTTTAGTCTCAGGAATTGGAGAGGGTCAGAAAAGATCATTTGAGAGTCCTGGTAGAACACTTACCTCTCAAAGTCACAGGGAATAAAGAAACGGGTTCCTCTTAGAAGACCAGCTTCTTCTAACTGCAAATGCAAAAACCTGTTTTGGAATATCAGAAGAGCCCCATCTTGGCCATTTTCATGGTGGTATACTTCAGTTCTCAAATAGCCAGTTCAGTTTAAACAAATCACAGTAATAGACAGTAATATTTAGTAATAACATGTCATTCACCCACCTTCACACTTCAGACAAACTTACCTGTTCTGAATCAGGCTCGAGACCACATTTAAACTATCGGTTTCTAAGAGTGTCTCGACCACATTTTCAAGTTACCAAGGACTCTAAATGGTCAAAACCAGGGATAGAAGATTTGAACGTGTGTGTCAAGACACTCATGCACACACACACAAGATGAAAGCCAAACCAATTCTAAAAGACTTAAACGTTGATGAAATAGGATGAAAGCCTACACATAAGTGATGTCATCCCAGTTTCCTTCCCTTTTACAAAGCAGTTCTAATGGAAAGATGGTGTTACAGTCTAAAGAGCTATTGAGGGGTGGTTGTCCTCCAGATCCCAAGGAGTGCTGAGGCTAAGCAGTATTACAATAAAGTACCATTTATATCTTTTATGGGAACATAACTGAAGATCTCCCAGTTTTGCAAAATACACCCTAGGAAACTCCAAAATGGAATAGAGTTACGGTTTCCCATTCTTTCACACAGCTGGTATTAATAGAAACAGGCGGATCAGTATCTGATGCCTCTCAGAGTCACAGTTCCCTAGCACAGGAATGGAAAATTTCCCAGATGGGGCTGCAGACAAGCCTTGGTCTAACAGGGACTTTCCCACTTACCACTTAGGCAGTACCTGATGGCCGAAGGATTCCTCAACCCAGAATGGAAAATCCAGTAAAAGTG